GCAGTGAAACACCACATACACACTAGTGAGCACACTTGTGCAGAGCGGTGGGCAGCCCTATCCACAGCACCCGTGGAGCAGTTGGGGGTTAGGTGTCTTGCTCAAGGGCACTTCAGTCACATACTGTTGGCTCAGGGGATTGAACTGGCAACCTTCTGGTCACAGAGCTCGTTCCCTAACCTCCAGTCAAAGGGTTCTTCAGTTTGATGGAGAATGTACTTATGGCATGCGCCCATCCCCCGGGCCCTGATGATGGCCAAACCAAAAAGGGTTCCACTACTGTTACAGGCCAAAGAACCCTTTTTCAGTACTATACAGAACCAATTTGGCTAAGATTTTAGGTTGGAACTCAGCAGCTCAATAAATAAAAAGTAACACAATACATTAATGAATAACTATAACAGGGAAAAAGGCACAGAACCGATATTTCAATGAGCGCCATCTACAGTGCAATATTCAGTCCTGTGCTCAAGCAGCTGCCCCACAAATATGAATTTACGAGCTATATTTTGATATAAAATACAGTAAAATGGACATATAATTTTGCTATCTAGCCTAATAATGGACAGCTGTACCTGTAAGCATCAGTTACAGTGGGTTGTACTGAAATAAAATGTTTTATCAGTGGAGGATTAAAGAAAATGATGTCATTAAGCTCCTGAAGTGGCCTCACTTTTGCTGGTTTGTACATTCTGCCCCAACAAAGCCTCTATTTTAGGTCCAGCTGTGACCGGAGAGAGAGAAATCATCACCTCGGTTAATCATTCTCCAACGTTAACACCTCAGGCAACGAGGCTTTACACATTTCAGAACATTAGACCCTGGACCCAGAACCGTTAGCATTAGCTCTGCCTTGAAACGTCCAGCCTAATAGTGTTTGTGAATAATTTATTGGTCGTGTCTGGCTTTTAATTAAGCACATTTATTTAGGCCAGTGGTCACCAACCCTCCTCCTGGAGACCTACCAGCCTGCAGAGCTCAATTCAGGCCTAACCAACCCAGATAAGGTGCTTCTGAAGCGATTGATTAGCTAGATTAGCTGATTGGCATTGAAACCGAACTCTGAATGGAACAGTGGCCAAAACTGCACCTCTTCAGTGGCCGAAACCACAACGTACTCACTATACAGTGCGCACTGCTTTGGGATTCTGACATTGTGTCCAAACCATGTACACAGCAGGCTACGATTACCCATAATGCCTTAATGTTTGAAGACTTGAGCTCTGTATGCAACTTCACAGATTCTCTTCAGGTCCACAAAGAGCCAATTAGCATATGCTACTTTTAGCTAGTTTGCTAATTACCATGTAAAATGTATTAAGTTGCCACTGCCAACATGCTAAGCTAACAGCACTGTTTTTCAGTAATATCTGGTCCATTTTAAATCCTTAAACTGCTCAGATTAGCAAAAAATATCTGCAATGATGGTGTTTATGAGGAGGACTGTGACTATTATTAATGTGCTGTACACAGTTGGCTTAACCACACTAGCGTTTTGTCACTGAAATTAGCGAAAGAAAGTGAATTCGTTCAAAAGTGCATTAGTAGTTATGAAAGTGCTAATCGCTAATTTCAGCCAACAAACATGACAGACTGCATGATCTGCAGTCAGTCAGACTGTAGCGATTGGTAGAACGACCTTTTTGAGGTTTATTTTAGGTGTTAGCCAGCTTGCTAAGTGCGAGGTTAGGTTATCTACTTAACTACCCAGATGGCAGCAATATCGGTCCACTAGCTTAATACTCATAATTACATGGTTATCTGATACAATTATGCTCACGTTTGTGTTTTGTTGTTTATGTTTGGCTAACTGCTCCAAAAATGAGTTTCTTTTTTGTCGCCAATCTTTTGGTCCAATCTTTTTGGTATCCTTGGGTTCTCTGGTAAAGGCAATGGTCATATACAGAACCGTGAACACTCAAAGAACCATTTGATTCTATAAATGGTTAAAATAGTTCTTCTCTATGATGGAAAACCTGCTGTGTGTATTTTTTCAAAGAACATTTTTTAAAATATTACAGCACCAAACAGGTTCTGCGATTGTTCTATGAGTCACAGAACCCTTTTCTGGCACTTTGAAAAGCATGTTAGAGTGCATATTAGTGCAATACTGATTCTACAACCTAGCGCACAGCAAGTACTGTGTGATTCCGATCACACCGTTGGTGACCACTGGCTCAGACTGACCTCTGCGATTGATTCATTGATCAGTTGGCTGGCTTAGCAATGCATAGTGCCATTTAAACATCAGAGCTACTGATTATCTGTCCAAAGTATTAACACAGGTTTATCAGCGTCGCCCTGGAACCACAAAGCAGCCCCGCTTAATCTACTCATACATCACACTGCACACTTACAGAGAACTCTATAGGAGAACAGGGAAGGCGGCGTAGTGAACACATCCACACAGACCTGCCACAGACTTCATGAGTAGAAATAAAGAGTGGAATAAAAACACGGAGAAGGGAATCAGGGACCGGATTCACCAAAGCTTTCGATTAATCACCCAAACTAAACATACATACATATATCATCTAAACCGCTTATCCTTCTGGGTGGAGCCTATCCCAGCTGTCATTGGGCGGAAGGCAGGATACACCCTGGACAGGTCGCCAGTCCATCGCAGGGTAGCCAAACTAAACAGAGAGTTTCTTATTTGCTAGAATCCAGGTATCCTAACTAGCTAGCCAGCTAACTAAGACTTAGCCATACTAGACAAACACAGGTAAGCTAATTTAAGTTGCTCTTAAATTCTTGGATATTTTCTTAAGAAAGTCAATCAAAGCTACTGTGAGGCTACTGTAGGACTAGTAAAGATCAAAGAACATATCAATAATAGTGCTAGCTTTGAAGAATAACATCAGCTTAAAGGTCTGACCATTCATGCTTATAATGCTAATACTTAATAAAAGCTGGAGATCCACTAAAGCATTAGGCAAAAAACACATTCTCTACTATTCTATTCATTCTCCAGTCTTCATTTTTCAGTTTTATAGTATGCTTTCAGTCTAAGACTAGCATGACGCTAAAAACATTTAATTCCTTGTTCTTAAAACTGAGAGAAAAAGAAATGAGGAAATGCTAACGGTGTTTTCTGAACCAGAGCGATTATCTTAACCCTTTTCTTAAAGAAATAACTTTAAGTTTTAACCAAAAATGCTTCTGCTGCTGCTAATAACAAATAGAAGTCCACAAATTATCATTAAATCATGCTAACTGGTAGCTTTCATTCCCTGTTAGCCACATTAGCACTTTTAAGCCTGAAACCTGAAATCAAGCTCATTTCAGAAGGCTTTGCTTTGTGAATCCGGCCCCCATGTTGCGTCGCTGCGATATCAAAACTTCGTAACTTTAACACTTTATTTTTTACACCGTTTTTAAACGCCAGCTGCCAAACACTTCATGATTAATGGACCCACAAAAAATGGCCCAAAATGATATAAAGTGTCATTAAAGTAATTCACGTTAGAGTTAAAAACGTTGTTCCTCTGTAACGTTAGCATTTCGGAGATACGAAGTTTCGGTACAACAGCGACAGTTTGAACTGAGCACACTTTAGCTTTAGGAGCTAAATTCCACATTTTGTGGGGGGGGGGGCAGTTTTGGAGACCACTGGCTTATATAAATATATGTATATCTGTGCCTATATGATTAACGCTTTACACGGAACAGCACGAAAAGCACGGACGGCTGTGCGTAGATTGTCGGCGGTGAAGCGGCTCGTTAGCGCCGCGGTTCTGCATAGCGCTGATGGGGGTGGGGGGGCACAGGAAGTGACGTCAGAGTAAAGCTATCGCTCCGCCCACCACTCAGCGGCTTCAGGAAACAGTTACAGTCTCAGAAAAATACCAAACAGCCTACAGATGTTTCGCACAGTGCAGGAGGCGCACGTGGAAGTACACATTGACGGTGAGTCCGAAAACACTGCAAAAGGTTCAGCAGTAGGGATTTAACTGTGCACACGTCCAGGAAAACCACTGCTCTTAAAGGGGAATTCAGACGGTATTCCAAAACGTCGGGTTCATTAAACGGTCGGGACGTAAACAAAGTCTGTCAGAGTGGCTTCAATGCAGAGAAGCTTACCGACTCGGATTTCTTTACAGTGGTGGTGATGGGAACCAGACGTCTGCTGCCCCACATGGTTTGTTCGTACTATGGGGTTGTTTTTATTTAAAAAGTCTATGAAAAAAAAATCTATGTAAATTTTGAATACTCTCTCTCTCTCTCTCGTAACTTTATTTTCTTTGCTTTATGAGGCTGTTTATCAGATTTCTGAATATTCCCTTTAAAAAAGTCTTAATTTATCATTCAATCAAAGCTACTTTGAGGCTGTCGTGAGCCTAATAAACGATTTAAGAACTTTTTTCTCAAGAACCGGACATTTTTTTCAGAATAACATCAGCTTAAAAGTCTGGCCATTCATGCTAATAATGCTAACAACAAATGAAAGCTAGAGATCCGCTAAAGCGAGCATTGCACACTTGGTTCTTCAAGGGTTCTTTAGTAAAGGCAATGGTTCTATTTAGAACTATGCCTAACCATTTCATGCTTGAACGATAGCATATAGCACCAAAAAAGGGTTCTAGTGGTACAAGCTTGACCTTGTTTCAATAGCGGTGCCATACAGAACCTTAAACAAACCAGGCTAAAGCTCTGAAACCGCGTCCGTCTCTGTTAACGTTAGTGTTTGAGAGCGTTCGGGTTTCAGATTTAGCAGGACCGGCCCACCTGTGGAATGTTGATGATGGAAAATAGTGGAAAATCTGAAATGATAAGTTTTCTTTGGGGACTATTTTGCCTCACAGCCCCCTGCATGTATCCCTCCACCATGAATGGAGTTTAAGTTCTCTAAACTATCATAAAACAGTGTCTCAGTCATCAGGCAGTGAATTCATAACCATTTACTGTAGTAACTTTCTGTGAGGGAGCTTTTAGAGGTGGACGTCTGGTTCCTATCACCACCACTGTGAACAGGTCTGACTCAGTAAGTTTATCTAGAACAGAGCGTTTCACGCCAAACCGACTCTGAACGGCTCTGTTTACATCTTGGTCGTTTATTTAAGTAGGAATTTTGAAAATGCGGTGGAGTTCCCCTTTAAGCATAGTCCCAAACACTGTAATGGTGAGTCCAACAGCACCACACACACACACACAGTATTCACCACATACACCCCCCCAAACACACACACACACACACACAGAATAAATTAACTGTTCCAATAACTGCAGGTTCGAGTCCCCAACACTGTAAAGCTCTCTCTCTCTTTCCCTCTCTCTCCTTCACGCGCTCCTCCTGCTCCCCGTGCTCGTGGCCGAGGCGCGTCCTGCTCCAGTCTCGCGCTCCGGCCTGTACTTCAGCCAGCAGAGGAGCCACGTGACCACCACGGCGACCATGGCGAGCACGCTGGCGACGGACAAACACACGGGGCCGGCGGATGATGACGTCGTCGGTGACGTCGACCCTCCTCCTCCTCCTCCTCCGTGTCCGTGCACGAACACGAGCCCCACGAAGAGCAGCACGAGCATGGCGAGGAAAGAGAAGACGACGCACGCGCAGCCAGCGGCGAGCGCGAGCCTCCTGCAGCCGGGCCGCGAGACGGAGACCGAGACGGACACGGAGTCTCGCGAGAGCGTGGTGGCCGACGAGGGCGTGCTGGCGCCCGCGCCCACGCTCGTGCTCGTGCTCGTCCCCGCGCTGGCGCTGGCGCTGAGCTCGTCCCCGCGCCGCAGCGCCGCCAGCGCCGGGTGCAGCGGGGGCGGGTGCGGCGGCAGCGCGTCCTGGGGCAGTGGGTCGGCGCGCGCGCACAGCGGGAAGCGCGCGGCCGCCTTGGTGTTGCAGGGCAGCGCGCGGATGCGGCAGTCCGGCACGCGCGTGCGGTGGCGGCACACGGGGCACGTGACGCGCCACGGGCGCTCCTCGCGCAGGTGCAGCGCGTGCAGGCACTCCGCGCAGAACGTGTGCAGGCACTCCAGCAGCTTGGGCGCGCGCCGGTCCAGGTCGAAGTAGTTGTAGCAGATCTTACACTCCGAGTCCTCGAACGGGAGCGCGAGCGACGGCGAAGGAAGGACCACCGCCGCCGCCGAAGGGGCCTGGGGCGCGAGGCCCGGGGGCTCAGAGCCGCTGTCCGCTGCGTCCGCCTCGGCCATGGCGCACGCTCACATCACCTCCTCCTCCTCCTCGCGCTGCTGCTGCTGCTCACATCACGATGAGTCACGCGGGAGGAGGACGGCGATGATGGCGATGAAGATGATGATGATGATGAAGAGCCTGTTTATGTTCTCGGTACAAATCCGAGCCGTTAAGAACGGAAACAAACACAATCGGTCCTCTCTCTCTCTCTCTCTCTCTCTCTCTCTCTCTCTCTCTGTCTGTCTGTCTGTCTGTCTGTCTCTCTCTCCCTCCTCCGTGTCTCGTGCAGAGCCGCTCCCTCCTCCTCCAGCCAGACCGGCAGGGGGCGCTCGCGCTCCGTCTCCACCACCATCACACATTACGTCACTGTTCGCGCACGGAGATTCTAGAAGTGGGCTGAACACACACACACTCACACACACAGTCACACTCTCACACACATACACACACACACACACTCACACACACAGTCACACTCTCACACACATACACACACACACACACACACACCACACACACACACTCTCACACACACACACACACACACTCTCACACACACACCTCACACACACACAAACCCACACACACACACATACACAGGAACACAAATAAATGACACTATGTTATGAATATATTGTACACAAATGACCTGTGAGGCGCTTTAGGGGCTTATAAGCATTAATAAACCTACATCATCTGCTTTTTCTACACACTTAAAAAGATGGTTCCTCAAGGGTTCTTTAGTGAAGGGAATGGTTCTCTTTAGAACCATGAGTTCTACGTAGAACCATTTACATGCATTAGGGTTCCCTGCATGGTGAGATGGTTCCTCACATTGATGGAGAATGTGCATGAATGTGCTAAAGATGGTTCAGAACCTTTCTGAAAAGGGTTCCAAACAGCACCCAAAAGGGTTCTTCTCTACTGTTACAAGCTTGACATTGTTACAATAGAAGAACTTTTGGGTGCTGTATAGAACCATTTTCATAAATGCTCTGTATAGAACAGCACACTCGCCATCAATCTGAAGAACAATTTCACCATGCAGAGAACCCCAATGCATGTAAATGGTTCTATGTAGAACTCATGGTTCTAAATAGAATCATTCCCTTCACTAAAGAACCCTTAAAGAACTAGAGTTTTAAAGAGAGCACAGTATTTGTGTCTTAATAAAACATGGATCACGGTAGGTGGTATAAACAAACAAACAAATAAACAAACAAACAAATAAATAAAGGCACCTCGTTAAATGTAATGAGTGTCTGATAAACGGTGTTTGTTTTTATTGATGATTTTATTGAGTAAACAGAATTAATGACTGGCCGAAGTTACTGTGATAAGGGTAAATCAATGCATTTAATAATTAAGTTATAATCTATTAATTTTATAAATAAAAATGAAACATTTCTTTCATAATTAACGTAATAATCCATTAAATCATTAAATTAAATATGAAAGTTGAAGTGAATGAACAAATAAATAAATAAACAAATGAGTATACAGATTTGTAGTGCTATCATTTCTATTTTAAATAAATCATTTTAATTACAGTGATTAATGAGTCATCAAATATCCGTGCATACTGTGACTTAAAAAACATAAATAAATGAAGTAATGAATAAATAAATGAATAGTAGTAGTTTCGTTGATTAATTAAGTAATTAACTTATTAATTAATACTCAATTGTGTTATGTTTAAAATAAATAAATAATCACTTTACTTGTGCTATAAGGTGGTTAAATAATTAAATAAATAAATAAATGAATGAATAAATAATCACTTTACTTGTGCTATAAGCTGGTTAAATAATTAATGAATAAAAATAAATAAATAAATAATCACTTGTGCTATAAGATGGATAAATAATTAATAAATAAATAAATGATCACTTGTCCTATGAGCAAGTTAAATAATGAATAAATAAACGGATTAATTAATTAATTAATAACTGATCACTTGTGCTATAAGCAGGTTAAATAATTAACAATAAACAAATTAATTAATTAATTAATAATCACTTTGCTCGTGCTGTAAGCTGGTTAAATAATAAATTAATTAATTAATAATCACTTCACTTGTTCTATAAGATGGTTAAATAATGAACAATAAACAAATTAATTAAATAAATAATCACTTTATTTGTGCTACAAGCTGGTTAAACAGTTAATAAATATAAATAAATGAATAAATAAATAAACAAATAATCAGTCACTTTACTTGTGCTATAGGTTGGTTAAATAAATAAATACAAAAGTCATTTTAAAGAAGAATATTAAGTTATTAAGACTCACTTTAATTGCGTTGTAAATTAAAGTAAAATAAATAATAAACAATCACTTGTTCAGTAAACTAACAAACAAGCCTGCTGGTGTCCTGATTGGCTGTACAGGTGTGTACAGGTGTTGCACGTGCGTTCAGGTGAGCTCCTGTCAGGTTGCTGTTGCTCTACCTGTCCGTCTGCGATAAGATGCGTCAGCGCCGCTCCTGCGCCCCACCTGCGCGCGTGAGGGCAAGAGCTGAACACGGAAGCTCAGAAGTCGGTGCGCGGCGGCAGCAGCAGCAGCGCGCGGCGACGGTAATAATGATGATGATGGTGGCAGTGAGGCGCGCGATCTTGCTTCTGAGCAGCTCTGAGCTGGTCGCGCGCTTCCAACGAGCCTGCGGGCTGTTTCCGGCAGCGCCACGCGCTGATCGAGAGGAGCGAAACGGAGACACGAGGAGTCACAGAGACCGAGAGCCGGTCAGGAACGGGACACCAGCGGGTCAGCACAAAGAGCGCGGAGAGCGCGAGCGCAGCGTGAGTGGATACACACGCACTCACACACACACACACGCGCACACACACACTGACGCACACACACACACACACACACTCACGCACACACACCACGCACACACACACTAGAGCACAAAACTCATACATACACAGGCGCGCGCGTGATTTGAGGCACTTGCAGACAGGCTTTTCCCGCTCTTCGGGTTGGGGCAGACGGTACAGACGCCACGTGCGCACTCTTTTATCAATACAGCTCATTCACCTGTAAGAATTAGGTCACCTGCAACATATTGACCACTGCTCACCTGAAGGACTGAAATCTATAATACAGAGGTCACCTGTGATATAAAAGTCACCTGTATGATTGAGATCACCTGTAATACAGAGGTCACCTGTAATAAAGAGGTCACCTGAATGATTGAAGTCACCTGCAATACAGAGGTCACCTACATGATTGTCATCTGTAATACAAAAGTCACCTGTGTGATTGAGGTGACCTGTAATACAGAGGTCACCTGTATATTTGAGATCACGTAATATAGAGGTCACCTGTATGACTGAGGTCACCTATCATACACTTGTAATACAGAGGTGAATTGTATGACTAAAGTCACCTGTCATACCTGTCGTACAGAGGTCACCTGTAATATAATTACCTGTAAGACTGGGGTCACCTGTAAGAATGTCACCTATGACCAGAACTGATCTGTCCAAAGGGAAACATTGAATCTTTTATTATGATAATTCAGTGTTTTTCTGTTTTAGTTTGTTATCCTGTGTTAGTTTACATTACTGTCTGGTATTATTACTGCATGTCCCATTATTCTGTATTACTCTGATTTACTTTGTTACTCTACATTACTGTTATTCTAAATTACTCTACATTACTCTGTTACTCTACATTACTCTGTTACTCTACATTACTGTTATTCTAAATTACTCTACATTACTGTTATTCTAAATTACTCTACATTACTCTGTTACTCTACATTGTTACTCTACATTACTGTTATTTTACATTACTCTACATTACTCTGTTACTCTACATTATTGTTACTCTACATTACTGTTATTTTACATTACTCTACATTACTCTGTTACTCTACATTATTGTTACTCTACATTACTGTTATTTTACATTACATTACTGTTACTCTACATTATTGTTACTCTACATTACTGTTATTTTACATTACTCTACATTACTGTTATGTTACATTACATTACTCTGTTACTCTACATTACTCTGTTCCTCTACATTACTGTTATTTTACATTACTCTGTTACTCTAAAATACTGTTACCCAGTATAATTCTGTTACTTCACTGTTACTGTGCATCATTGTCACTGTATTACAATGTTCCTCTGCGTTGCTTTGTTCTACTCTACATGACTGTGTTCCTCTGCGTCACTTTGTTCTACTCTACATGACTGTGTTCCTCTGCGTCACTTTGTTCTACTCTACGTGACTGTGTTCCTCTGCGTCACTTTGTTCTACTCTATGTGACTGTGTTCCTCTGCGTTACTTTGTTCTACTCTATGTGACTGTGTTCCTGTGCGTTACTTTGTTCTACTCTATGTGACTGTGTTCCTGTGCGTTACTGTACGTTGCTGTGTGTTACTCTAGATTTCTCTGTGTTGTTCTGTTCCACAGTTCTACTGTGTTTTGTAACCCTGTGTTACTCTAGATTTCTGTGAGTTGTTTTGTTACTCTGTTCTACTGTGTTTTGTAACCGTGTTACTCTAGATTTCTCTGTGTTGTTCTGTTACTCTGTTTTGTAACCCTGTGTTACTCTAGATTTCTCTGTGTTGTTCTGTTACTCTGTTCTACTCTGTTTTGTAACCCTGTGTTACTCTAGATTTCTCTGTGTTGTTCTGTTCCACTGTTCTACTGTGTTTTGTAACCATGTTACTCTAGATTTCTGTGTTGTTCTGTTACTGTGTTCTACTGTGTTTTGTAACCCTGTGTTACTCTAGATTTCTGTGTTGTTCTGTTACTCTGTTCTACTGTGTTTTGTAACCGTGTTACTCTAGATTTCTCTGTGTTGTTCTGTTAGTGTTCTACTGTGTTTTGTAAACGTGTTACTCTAGATTTCTCTGTGTTGTTCTGTTACTCTGTTCTACTCTGTTTTGTAACCCTGTGTTACTCTAGATTTCTCTGTGTTGTTCTGTTACTCTGTTCTACTCTGTTTTGTAACCCTGTGTTACTCTAGATTTCTCTGTGTTGTTCTGTTACTCTGTTCTACTGTGTTTTGTAACCATGTTACTCTAGATTTCTCTGTGTTGTTCTGTTCCACTGTTCTACTGTGTTTTGTAACCATGTTACTCTAGATTTCTGTGTTGTTCTGTTACTGTGTTCTACTGTGGTTTGTAACCCTGTGTTACTCTAGATTTCTGTGTTGTTCTGTTACTCTGTTCTACTGTGTTTTGTAACCCTGTGTTTCTCTTCATCTCTCGAAGGTGAAGTATGAAGTGAAGAACTGGCCTCTGTACTTCCTGTTTGTGGTGTCTGCGATGCTGGGAAATGAAATTTTTTACATTTCCTTCCTGCCCTGCATCCACTGGAACCTGGATCCCTTCCTGTGCCGACGGCTCGTCAACATGTGGGCTGTGAGGGGCACGCGCACACACACACACACACACACACACACACACACACACACACACAGTCACACTCACACATACACACACCACACACACACACACCACACACCACACACACACCACACACACATACACAGACACACACACACCCCACACACCCACACACACATACACAGACACACACACACTCACACACAGACATACACACACAAACTCACACACACACATAGACACACACACACACTCACATGCAGACTCACACACACATACACACATAGACATAGACACACACTCACACACACACACAGAGACTCACACACACACACACGCACATACACGCACACACACACACTCACACAGACTCACACACACACAGACTCACACAGACTCAGACACACACACACACAGACTCACACACACACACACACACACACAGACTCACACACACTCAGACATACACACACAAATACACATACACGCACACACACACTCACATACACACGTACATATGCACTCACTCACACATACACAGACACACACACTCACACACACACTCACACACTCACACACACACATACATGCACACACACACACTCACACAGACTCACACACACACGCACACACAGACTCACACACACTCACACAGACATACACACACACATACACGCACTCACTCACTCACACACACTCACATACACACATGTACATACACACTCACTCACACATACACAGACACACACACACACACACACACTCACACACACATGTACATACGCACTCACTCACACACACACACACACACATACACAGACACACACACACTCACACACATGTACATACGCACTCACTCACACACACACACACACACACGCACACACACACACTCACATACACACACACACACACACACACACACCTGCACATACAGTCATCAAAAAAAGAAAACTGGTTTTTACTCCAATACACAGTGAGATGAACTGCATCGATTATCACATTATTCATAAACATGAACCTGAATAAAAACAATGCAAACCTGAACCTAAATTTAGACTTTACAGTGAGCCGAACGTCCTCTCTCTGTCTGTGGGTCTGTAGGCGGTGATGTATATAGGGCAGGTGATGAAGGACGTCCTGAAGCTGCCCCGCCCCACGGCGCCCCCTGTGGTGAAGCTGGAGTGGCGGGTGGACGTGGAGTACGGCCTTCCCTCCACGCACGCCATGGCAGCCACGGCCATATCCTTCACCCTCCTGCTGAGCGCCACGGAGAGAGTGCAGGTAATGAGCACACGGGCCTTTGTGTACTTTTCAGTGCACGTTTGTGGTATTTACAGTCGTATGCAAAATTTGGATGCCACAGTCAAATTCCATGTTTCTGTTGATCTTGTAAATGTAAATAAGTGAACAGATCCTCTACAGAAACCACACTCCTGCACATTTTAATCCACAATTACTGTTTATTTACTGAATTAATAACACATTAAATAAGGCCAGCGCAAACTTGGTACATTTTATATTTTATCCAATTTGTTAAATAAATAAAATAAATAGAAATTGTGCTCTGAAAATGTACAGAAACATGCCATACGTCAGGGCTTCTCAACCTGTGGTACGCGGACCACCAGTGATACCACCCCGTAGCGGTCCACAGGCCTGAACTCTGAGGAGGCAGTAGTTCGTAGTGGGCCGGTAACGTCACTTTAACGTCATATGTATTTTTTTAACATAACTGCAAATTTTGGGACCTGTGATTGAGCCACGGTAGAACATCTGATCATTTTTAGGCCCTGGTTCTCCGGTTTTCAGTTTTAGCACTTGGTAACTGCTGACTGTTAACTTTACAGGAGAAGGAAAACATTCCTAACTTTGCATGGAAGTTAATGGAACTCGATCTGAGTCACTTCTATTGGTCTGTTCGTCATAAAATTCAAATTCTGTACAAAATTGCAAAATGGCAAAAATTGAGATATAAGGTTTTGTTCCGACAGCAGCGATATGTATGTATGTGTATAAAACGTTCTGTGGTTGTCTATGTTCCAGTTCCCGTTCGAGCTGGGTTTGGTTCTGGCCGTGGTTCTGTCGGCCCTCGTGTCTCTCAGCCGGCTCTACACGGGGATGCACTCCGCTCTGGTGAGAACTTGTTCAAACACATTTGGATGAACTGGAAAGGGAATCTTTTCACTTCACTCTTAAAAAATCTGGCTCTTCAGGGGTTCTTCAATAAAGAAAAGGGTTCTATACAGAACCGTGAACCATTTGCATGTTTAAAAGGTTTTCAGCATGGTGAAATGGTTCTTTAGACTGATGGAGTGTTTTATGTGGTTCTATGTAGAATCTTTTTGAAAATGGCTTTATATAGCACTAAAATGGGTTCTGTGATTGTTCACAACAATAGCAGAACCCTTTTTAGTGCCATAGAGAGCCATATACAACACATTCTCCATCAACCTGAAGAACCATTTCACCATGCAAAGAACCATGTAATTATGCAAATCGTTCATGGTTCTATAGAGGACCATTGGCTTTACTAAAGAACCCTTGAAGAACCATATTGTTTAAGAGTGTACTTTATGTAGAAAGAACACCACCCCATTAAAATGTTTTTTAAGGGTTCTTTGGTGAAGAAAATGGTTCTATATAGAACCACAAACAGCCAAAGGACCCATGCATCATTAAAAGTGTCTTTGCATGGTGAAAGGGTTCTTTAGATGGATGGACAATGTGTTGTAGATGGTTCCATATAGAACATTTTTGAAAAGGGTTCTACAACCTTAAAATTGTGGTTCTTCAAGGGGTCCTTAGTAAATAAAAATGGTTCTATATAGAACCACAAACACTCAAAGAACCTATGTATCATTAAAATATTCTTTGCATGGTGAAAGGGTTCTATACATTGATGGAGAAAGTGCTGTAGATGGTTCTAAACAGAAACGTCTTGAAAAAGGTTTTACAGACTTCAACATTATGGTTCTTCAAGGGTTCTGCATGGAACTATGAACACTCACAGAACCCTTTGCATGCCTGAAAGGTTCTTTTGCATGCAGACAGCATAGACAATGTGCTGTGGATGGTTCTATGTAGAACCTTTTTGAAAAGGGTTCCTGTATTGTGATAATGTCACGCTTGTAACAATATCACAACCATTTTTGGTGCTATATAGAACCATCTACAACACATTCTACATCAATCTGTCGCCACAGAGAACCCTTTAAGCATGCAAACTGTTCTTTGAGTGTTTGTTTCTATATAGAACCATGTTCTTTACTAAAGAACCCTTGAAGAACCATCTTTTTAAGCATGTAGAAACAAACTAGCCAGTAGAAACAGTTCAAAAACAGCCACGTCAGAAAACAGATTAGCTCTAATCCAGCTCACATCACACCTGCGGCAGGTATTCAGAGCTCTTCACGGCTCAGTCCAGGTGTCTGGAGCAATCGTACTAGATCTCCCCGAGAGAGAGAGAGAGAGAGAGAAAGAGAAAGAGAGAGAGAGAGAAAGGGAGTGTCAGAGTGAATGAATGAATGAGAGCAGTTAGTTAGTCTGCACTTTGCCCTGTGAGTGTCAGCTGAACCTAATGAGAAACTAGAACAGACTCAGTTTATATCACAATACCTACATTTAGAGTCAGTTATTCATTCAGCCTAACGAGAAACTGTAGAACAGACTCAGTTTATATCACAATACCTACATTTAGAGTCAGTTATTCATTCAGCCTAATGAGAAACTGTAGAACTGACTCAGTTTATATCACAATACCTACATTTAGAGTCGGTTATTCATTCAGCCTAATGAGAAACTGTAGAACTGACTCAGTTTATATCACAATACCTACACTTAAAGGTTCTATTGTACCATGGCTGTCACATTAACGTGTGAATAGCATATTAGCTGGTGGCCAGAGCTTTTGAAGAAGGCAGCTTCCTGATTATGTGGTTTCTGACACTGTGGCTCTATGTAAACATGGACTAAAGTACATTAACATAGCTAAAAACAATAGCAGTCACTTTGACTCCTGATCTCTCACAGGATGTGATCTGTGGAATTCTAATATCAGCGCTCATCCTGGGAGTGACCCACCCACACTGGAGGACGCTGGACTTCCTGCAGCTGAACAGTCCTCTGTCCCCTGTGGTAGCGGTGGTACTGCCCCTCTACCTGTGCTATAAATACCCCGAACTGGACCATTACAGCACCACACGGGAGGACACCACCATCATTATGGGCGCGGCTGCAGGCTGCTCCGTGGGTTACTGGGCCAACCAGCAGCTAGGCCTGACCTTTGAACCTGCGGGGCCTTTTCCAGTGAGCCTGGGGCCTCTGACTCTTGCGACGTTTGCCCTCGGCGTGGCCCGGTTCGCCGTGGGTTTGGCTATCCTGGTGCTGACCCGGCAGACAGTTCGTTGGGTCAGCTTGAGGCTGCTCTGCTGGAACTACGGCGTCGCGGTCACTGATATTGAAGCCCGCAGAAGGAAAGAGATTGAGGTTCCCTACAAGTTCAGCACGTACTCGGCCATCGGGCTGGTCAACAGTGTGGTGGTCTGCCGGGCATTTGCACTGTTGGGGCTGCTATGACCACCATCCGTAGTATTAAAGGAAAATGGCAACATTTTTTCAAGCTAATCTCCATCTGCTGCACCTGTAGCAGCTACGCTACAATAACCACGGACAGTAATTCTGCTGCGTTGACCTGAAGAGAACGCAAACTCCAAACTCTGTTCTAAGCCTGTTAGGTTCTAATGGATTATGAGAGATTGGAAAATGGTCTGTTTTTGGTAGATGAAACAACAATATCTCAGGGTAGATTATAAAATATATAATACACAGTAAAAATGAAAGATACTCAAGGCACATTTTGGGGTTCCTTAGCTTGTCACATTGGCGGAACCCTTTAAGGAGCCTCTAGGAACCCATCTAAACAGGTCGATTCCCTGAGTAGCTTCACATAATTTACAATATATCTTTATCCAGCATGGTCTGAAAACTCTTTGGGGCTGCTTCATTTATTTTGGGGTTTGAGGCCAATTAGCACAACATTACAACTGAAAATGAAGGAGACGGAAATCGGCTAGAAAGTAAGAGGCCTTTGAGAACCCCAAAAGGTCTAGGGTACTTAAAATAACCCCAAATCTTTTGGTTACTCAATGAACCTGCTAGAACACAAGAGGCCTTTAAGGAACCCCCAAAGAAGTGTAGGATTCTTAAAATAACCCCAAACCTTTTGGTTACTCGAGGGGCCTGTTAGTATACAAGAGACCTTTGAGGAACCCCAAAGAGTCTAGGGTTCTAAAATGACCTTAAACCTTTTGGCTACTCAAGGAACCAGCTAGACTATGAGAGGCCTTTGAGGAACCTCAAAAAGTCTAGGGTTCCTAAAATAACCCCAAACCTTTTGGTTACTCAAGGAACCTCCTAGAATACAAGAGGCCTTTGAGGAACCCCAAAGAGTCTAGGGTTCTTAAAATAACCCCTTTTAGGCCTGTACATTCTTCTAGGAACCACCAAAGGTGCTTGAGGGCTTGCTCAAAAGAACAGAGTTCCTCCAGGAAACCAGAGCCAAAGCATGGTGTTTGATGGACACAGTGAGGTAGTTACAGGTTCCTAGAAGAGCTTGTAGACTGTCAAGGGTTCCTCCAGCAACCCCATTATATGGGAAGGTTTTTTGATGCACCTAAAAGATATTTTATAGCTCTTTAAGTATCCTGTACAACCCGTCTTTTTACCCCAAATATAATTGATCAGCCAGGACATCTGGAGTCTTAAGTTTGCTTCTTTACTATTAGCACAGGAGCTACGAGGCTAATGTAGCTAACTAGTAATGGAAGCTTATATCCCACCAATTGGCAAGCCTGTATCATCATAGACGCACCTCAAAGTGTGTGGAGGTGTTTATTAATCTCTAAAAAACTTGATTATGTGGCTTCTGACTCTGTATGATTCACTGTCATCTATAAACATGGACTAAAGTATGTTAGCATAAAGCTAAAACCAGTAGCAGCATCTAGAAACCTCATGTTTTTGTGTATTTTTGTCCATTTTTATGTTTGAAGTGAGTGTGTGATCATTTAGGGATGCAGTTAGCACCATGCTAATTAACGTACTGTACATAAGCTTCCATTACTTGTTAGCTACATTAGCCTCACAGCCCCAGTGCTAAAACTAAAGAAGCAGCTACATTTGAGGTAAAAGGGTGAAACTATAGATTTTTTGCCAGACTAACACCTTAAAGCTGTATTTACTCTCTGACCAACACTAGCTGGCTAAAACTGACCGATTTTAAAGAGAAATTACACCAATTTCCCCAAATTTCTGCATAATTCAGTGTGTGAGGTGTAAACAGAGAGATTCAGAGTGGTTTGGTGTGAAATGGTTCAGATGTCTTTACAGTGGTGGTGATAGGAACCAGGGGTCACCATGACTACAACACAAATATAGACATTTTATTTACTATCCAGAACCACCAGTGAACCTACACGAGTCTTCTGAGTTTATATGGAATGTTGATGATGGAAAATAGTGGAAAATCTGGAACAATAAGTTTTCTTTGGGGACTATTTTGCCTCACAGCGCCCTGCATATTATGTATCCCTCCACCATGAATGGAGTTCAAGTTCTCTAAACTATCATAAAACAGTGTCTCAGTCATCAGGCAGTGAATTCATAACCATTTACTGTAGTAACTTTCTGTGAGGGAGCTTTTAGAGGGGGATGTCTGGTTCCTATCAGCACCACCGTGAACAGTTCTGACTCGGTAAGTTTATCTAGAACGGAGCGTTTCATACCAAACCACTCTGAACCACTCTGTTTACATATTAACCATTTAATTATGCAGAAATTTGGAAAAACTGGTGGAATTCCCCTTCAATTATCTGCTGGTTAAAGCTGCTCTGTTTAGATGTTTTTCAACTGCAACGTTTTTCGAAACGTGCTATTTATTCCAGACCAAATGTGAACGTTTTTAAAAGCAGGTTTATGACATTTTTAAACAAACAGAAAAACCGTGTGAGTTTATGATTCTGTTGCTGTAACAGGAATGAATAAACGAGGAACATGAGCTGCAGAAGATCTCTCTCTCTCTCTCTCTCTCTCTTTCTCGGCTGTTTGTCCTGGTTTTATGGCTGTTGTGTTGTTAAGGTTCTGCCTTTACAGCTGTAAATGCATTTATGACTCATCAGTGTTCACAGACACACCCACACTGGAGGAACAGAGTCTGTAAGGCTGATGACTCCTGATCATCTGAAGACCCAGTTAGACGTTTACTCAGCCTCACCCGCCTCGCACGGCCTTCTGGACTACTGACCGCTACAACACCCACCCTTTCAGCAACACAGCGTCCCTGTTACTGTCCTGTGTCTGAGTCAGAAATCCTGGGCTATAAAATGAGCCATACAAATGACCACAGGTCACATTGATCTCATGCAATAAAACAAGGCATAGAAATAATCACAGATTATATTACTCTCATACTATAAAAATGACCTGCAGAAATAACCCCAGATTATTTTTAATGTGGGCTATAAAATGAACCATAGGAATAATCCCAGGTTATACCTGTGCTATAAAACAAACTGTAGAAATAACACCAGATTATTTTAACCATGTGCTATAAAATGAACCATAGAAATAATCCCAGGTTATATTAATCTTGTGTTATAAAACTGTAGAAATAACCCCGGATTAAACTAATCCTGTACTGTGAAACAAAATGTAGAAATAATCTGAGATTATATTAATCATGTGCTATAAAATGAACCACAAAAATAATCCCAGGTATAATTAATCCTGTACTTTAAAATGAACCATAGAAATAATCCCAGGTTATATTAATCTTGTGGTATAAAACTGTAGAAATAACCCCAGATTATATTAATCCTGTACAATAAAACAAGATGTAGAAATAACGCCAGGTTCTAATAATCCTGTACTAAAAAAAATATATAGAAATAACCCTGGATTATATTAATCCTGTACTATGAAACAAACTAGAAATAATCCCATTTAATATTATGTGCCATAAAATGCACCAAAGAAATAATCCCAGATTACATTAATCCTGTACTATAAAAACAAACTGTAGAAATAACGCCAGATTATATTAATCCTATACTATAAAACAAACTGTAGAAATAATCCAATATTATATTAATCCTGTACTATAAAATGCACCAAAGAAATAATCCCAGATTACATTAATCCTGTACTATAAAACGAAGTGTAGATATAATCCCAGATTATATTAATCCTGTACTATAACATGAACCATAGAAATATTCCCAGGTTATATTAATCCCTTGTGAAATGTCATCACACTGTTTTTTACGTATTTTTCTTAAACATGGAGGCATTCAGTGCGTTAAATGACACAGATGTTAAAGATGAGGGTAAACATAATTACGGCCAAATTTACGGCCTTTTTCTGGACTGAAGGCAGAGCGTTAACCGAGTAGCCGCTCCCACCATCACTCATTTACACAGACACTTCTTATCCTGGGTGAGTTGCTCATAAACATCACAGATGACGTGGTAAAATTATATCACCCAGCTCCCCACGGACGACTAATCCTGTCTGTTATAGAGCTTTATAGGCTAGAATACATACACTTACCTCTACACTCACCCACACACACACAACGTCATTCAGATGTTTTTACTGGAATGTGGAGAAACTGGGCCAAAACGGTGGCCATAATTTGAACTCTGGACACCTCATGACTAATCTTGGGAGATCAGGATTGGACAGAAAGTATCTCGTACCTCAATGATCGAAAAAAATGATCTGATTGATGTTTTTGTCCATTTTTATTTTAACGTCAGATGTAATATGCAGGCATATGAAGTACAGACACATTAACCTACTGCTTATGAGTGATTAAATATGAACGTCCATTCAACAAGACTCTTCCATTAAAATATTGACCTGATTTTTGCTGATTTAAATCTGACATGGAAAGAATGGAGCTCCGCCCACCTCCTCCACATGTGGGTGGGGCTACAGTGGGTGTAAACAACAGCAGCCAACTGTTAACAAGTCTGGCCAGTGTGGAAGTCTTCAAATCCGGAGACTGAATCCAGATTCCGGTCCAGGATTTTGTATTCACTTGTACGGCAGGCGGCCAATCAGAGCACAGTTTTTCAAAATTTGCCATCTGAACTGGTAGAGAGAGTGTTGAGTGTGATGCTCGCTCTACCATTTCAGAGTCATGAGCTCATCAACAGTTCAGTGAATACAAAAACCAGGACTGGAACCTGGATCCACAAGCATATTTGAAGATCTATGGGCTAGCGCACGATGCTGCTAGTGTGGGTGTGGCTTAAACTGTGACATCACAGGAAGGGTTCGATGTTGATTTCGAGGGCGGAGCAGGGCATGGTGAGCTCGAAGCCGCTGATGACGTCGGGGTGAAGGACTCCGAGGCGTCCGACGCTTTTACCGTGAGAGAAGATTTCGGCACAGCGGCCGGGGAAGAAGGTGGAGTCTGAGAGAGAGAGAGAGAGAGAGAGAGAGAGAGAGAGAGTGAGAGAGAGAGAGAGAGAGAGAGAGAGAATCTCATTTAAGTATTCAAGCTATGGATGGGCTTTTTTTTTTTCCCCCAGGTGTTCATTCAAGAAGAATCCCACTGGTTTCACAAACTTTCAGTACAATTAAGTGGTTAAGAAGTAAACAGAGTGGTTCAGAGTCGGTTTGGTGTGAAACGTTCTGTTCTAGATAAACTTACCGAGTCAGAACTGTCCACAGTGGTGGTGATAGGAACCACACGTCCACCTCTAAAAGCTCCCTCACAGAAAGTTACTACATGAAATGGTTATAAATACGCTGCCTGATGACTGAGACAAGGTTTAATGATAGTTCTGAGAAGGTTTTGGCCTTCGAATCCATTCATGGTGGAGGGATACATAAAATGCAGGGCGCTGTGAGACAAAATAGTCCCCAAAGAAATTCTTCACTATTTTCCATCATCAACATTCCATATAAACTCAGAAGACTCGTGTAGGTTCACTGGTGGTTTGGACAGTAAATAAAATTCTTTTATAGCTCACAGTTAGGCCCATTCCCATTTCTTATTTTTGCCCCTACCCCTTGTTTCCGTGTGTTGCCCCTTAGAACTGAGTTACAGGGTAGTGGTTGAAATCTTCCCTCTGAAATGGGACCCTCGAATAAAAAGAGCATCACTTCATTAACAGCTACCAGCGCTGCTCTGTAGGCGACCCTGCCAGTCTGCAGTGACAGCAGAGGAGGGTAAAGTTCAGCTCCTCACTGCTGGGCTTTAGTTACATTTAGGGCATCATATGACTTCAAAGAGGGGGGCAATTATTTATTATCGCCCACCCCTAATTCTTCAGTGATATGAAGCTGAAGTCAGATACTCACCAGATTCTTATTCAGATTTTCCCGTTCCACCTTAAATGGTGCAGCAGTTACATTCTAGCAGGCATCAGAACTGCTGGACTATTTAAGGTGGAACGGGAAAGTTAGCTAGACAGCTACCGAGACATTAGCATGCTATTAGCAATTTTTTTATGCTTGTTATGAAGAAAACGACCATAATACACTGAAACGACATTAAACTAAGATCATACAGTGATTATCGTAGTTTTTAACAGAGAAAATTCTGACATTTGTGGGTTTCTTTGGTCTCTTGTTCTCCGTCTGGCTGGTTTTTCTTTTTTCCTCATATCTCTCTGTTTGGAGTCTCTGAAAAACCTCCGTTTGGAGAGTCATGTAGCCCCAACACTTCACCTACCCCTCTATCTCAACAAGAATCAGGACACCCTACCCCTAGATGTGAGCACACAAAACAGAGGGGTAGGGCTAAGTGGTAGGGCGAGGGGTGAAATGGGATTGGGCCTATATATCATTCAGTGTCCTAAACCACATCTATGAGTCTGAACCTCCTTACTGAAGACCTGGGTGCGGTTTGAGCTGCTGAGAGAAGTTCTGAGGCTGTATTCACAGGAAAGATTTGGGTGACTATTGACTTCTAGTGTCTGTCATCAACATAAACCCTTGTAGCTCCAGTTCTAAAGAACTAAAGAGGCGAAATGTGGAGACCAAACCCGTCTCGGCTGATCAGCTACATCTAGGAAAAGTGGAGAACTGAGTAAATCTGCTTTTCCAACCAACTCCGACTTTAAGACGTGAAACCAGATGAGCAGAATAACTGGACTAATTCAGCTCTATTGATCTTCATAACTTCCCACAAAACGCTGTTAAACATTAACCAGCGCCACAAAATACAGAAGTGAAATGTGACCTTGTGCCACTGTGAACTCTTACACCCTCCTACATACAGGCAGAGTTTATAAGGCCATTTATGGCCTTTATTATCACTCACCCTCTGCGGCCTGGATGTAGTAGCCATGTTTACGGCCCGGTCTGACCTCCAGCAGCTGCATGACCCGGTCCAGAAGGCCATGGATGACCTCAAAGCCCGGAGTCTTGTTGTAGTAGACGGCACACAAACGCCTGTTATTCCGAGCACCTACATCTGAGACAAACACACCAACAATTTAATGGCCTCACAAGTGGAATAAAAGATGCACCGATAAATCAATAATCAATCCTTCCATGAGTTAAAGGTGGTTTAATCAATTAATGAAATGGGGTTGTAAATCAGGTCAGTCAATCCTGAACCAGGCCTGTAACGGCATGTTTACGTCTAAATGCCACAGTTAAACGAACAGTGTACGACTGTCCACACTGACCAGTGGTTTCGTCCTTCAGGACCACGTCAGAGATTTCAAACAGTTTGAGGGGGAGGGGCATCTTCCTGTTAGCAGCCACAGTCTTCAGGAGCCCCGGTAACAGAGTGGTCCGCGCCACCTACACACGAAACACCAGAGCAAATACATCACCCAGATATAGAACACCAGAGCAAATACACATCACCTAGATATAAAACACCAGAGCAAATACACGTCACCTAGATATAAAACACCAGAGCAAATACACATCACCTAGATATAAAACACCAGAGTGAATATACGTCACCTAGATATAAAACACCAGAGCAAATACACATCACTTAGATATAAAACACCAGAGTGAATATACGTCACCTAGATATAAAACACCAGAGCAAATACACATCACCTAGATATAAAACACCAGAGCAAATACACATCACTTAGATATAAAACACCAGAGTGAATATACGTCACCTAGATATAAAACACCAGAGCAAATACACATCACCCAGATATAGAACACCAGAGCAAATACACATCACCTAGATATAAAACACCAGAGCAAATACACGTCACCTAGATATAAAACACCAGAGCAAATACACATCACCTAGATATAAAACACCAGAGTGAATATACGTCACCTAGATATAAAACACCAGAGCAAATACACATCACTTAGATATAAAACACCAGAGTGAATATACGTCACCTAGATATAAAACACCACAGCAAATACACGTCACCTAGATATAAAACACCAGAGTGAATATACGTCACCTAGATATAGAACACCAGAGCAAATACATCACCCAGATATAGAACACCAGAGCAAATACACATCACCTAGATATAAAACACCAGAGTGAATATACGTCACCTAGATATAAAACACCAGGGTGAATATACGTCACTTAGATATAAAACACCAGAGCAAATACACATCACCTAGACATAAAACACCAGAGTGAATATACGTCACCTAGATATAAAACACCAGAGCAAATACACATCACCTAGATATAAAACACCAGAGTGAATATATGTCACTTAGATATAAAACACCAGGGTGAATATACGTCACCTAGATATAAAACACCAGAGCAAATACACATCACCTAGATATAAAACACCAGAGTGAATACACGTCACCTAGATATAAAACCCCAGAGCGAATACACGTCACCTAGATATAAAACACCAGAGCAAATACACATCACCTAGATATAAAACACCAGAGCGAATATACGTCACCTAGATATAGAACACCAGAGCAAATACATCACCCAGATATAGAACACCAGAGCAAATACACATCACCTAGATATAAAACACCAGAGCAAATACACATCACCTAGATATAGAACACCAGAGCAAATACACATCACCTAGATATAAAACACCAGAGTGAATATACGTCACCTAGATATTAAACCCCAGAGCAAATACACATCACCTAGATATAAAACACCAGAGCAAATACACATCACCTAGATATAAAACACCAGAGCAAATACACATCACCTAGATATAGAACACCAGAGCAAATACACATCACCTAGATATAAAACACCAGAGTGAATATACGTCACCTAGATATAAAACACCAGGGCGAATATACGTCACTTAGATATAAAACACCAGAGCAAATACACATCACCTAGATATAAAACACCAGAGTGAATATATGTCACTTAGATATAAAACACCAGGGTGAATATACATCACTTAGATATAAAACACCAGTGAATACACGTCACTTAGATATAAAACACCAGAGCGAATACACGTCACCTAGATATAAAACCCCAGAGCGAATACACGTCACCTAGATATAAAACCCCAGAGCGAATATACGTCACTTAGATATAAAACACCAGAGTGAAAATACGTCACCTAGATATAAAACACCAGGGTGAATATATGTCACCTAGATATAAAACACCAGAGCAAATACACATCACCTAGATATAAAACACCAGAGTGAATATACGTCACCTAGATATAAAACACCAGAGCAAATACACATCACCTAGATATAAAACACCAGAGCAAATACACATCACCTAGATATAAAACACCAGAGTGAATGTCACCTAGATATAAAACACCAGAGCAAATACACATCACCTAGATATAAAACACCAGAGTGAATGTCACCTAGATATAAAACACCAGAGTGAATACACATCACCTAGATACAAAACATCAGAGGAAATCCATCACCTAGACATAAAACAACAGTGAATATGCAACACCTATTCATAAAATACTAATCTATTATACACAGATATACAATATCACGCTTCTGAATATATGACCTATACCGTACAACATAAAGCACTTTAATTAAACCTCTAAAATACCACTAATTGAAGTTTTATCAAGACATTCTTTATTTTACACCAAACCAACTAAAAAATACAAGAATTCACAAACAGCATTTTCTGCTGCTTAAATTCTGGTCAATCCAGTTGAATCTGTCTAAAACGTCACAGCCTGATAATGAAAAGATTGAATTTTATTTTTAAAAAGAGTGTAAGAGGGCTCCCTCTGGTGGATTTAAATCATACATGCTAAACTACATATAAAAGCTATGTGTAAGTAAGTGTATGTTTTTTTTTCTTCTTTTTTTTTGTTTTTCAAACGAACCTGGAATTCTGCAGTTTTGGGGTTGGAGATGTGCACGGCTCTCGTCTCTGAGATGTTCTTTCCCAGTTTATCAGCTATATCCTCCTGAGAGCACTGAAGAGAGAAAGACAGAGGGAAAGAAAGAGAAAGATAAATAAATATAAATAAACCCAAAATGTTTGCAGACACATTAATCGTTGGTAAACTTCAAGTTCTTTAGGGCTCATATCACAAAAATAAGAGTTTTCCTCATTTTTACAAAATAAGCGTTTGTGCAGTATTTACTCATTTACATATATTATGTAACTATGACTGTATTTGACACACACACACACACACACACACACACACACACACACACACAGGGACACAGAGCAGGTACTATTTGGGTGGTGGGTCATTCTCAGCACTGCAGTAACACTGACGTGGTGGTGGTGTGTTAGTGTGTGTTGTGCTGGTATGAGTGGATCAGACACAGCAGTGCTGCTGGAGTTTTTAAACACTGTGTCCACTCACTGTCCACTCTATTAGACACTCCTACCTTGTCAGTCCAACTTGTAGTTGTAAAGTCGGAGATGATAGCTCATCTGCTGCTGCACAGTTTGTGTTGGTCATCCTCTAGTCCTTCTTCAGTGGTCACAGGACGCTGCCCACAGGACGCTGTTGGCTGGATACTTTTAGTTGGTGGACTATTCTCAGTCCAGCAGCGACACTGAGGTGCTTAAAAACTCCAGCAGCACTGCTGTGTCTGATCCACTCAGACCAGCACAACACACACTAACACACCACCACCACATCAGTGTTACTGCAGTGCTGAGAATGACCCACCACCCAAATAGTACCTGCTCTGTGAGGGTCCATGGGGGTCCTGACCACTGAAGAACAGGGCAAAAGGGGGCTAACAAAGCATGCAGAGAAACAGATGGACTACAGTCTGCCTGACTGGTGTATGTGTGTATTATATATATATATATATATATATATATTTTTTTTTTTAGAGGCTGAGGAGCTGTAATGCAGTGTGTAGAGGCTCAGTGTAGATGTGTTTTCTGTACCAGAGCGAAGGTGAGAGCTTCAGTAAATCCTGCTGCTGCCAGGTCCATCCTCAACAACTCCGTCAGCTTATTCAGAGGAAGCTGCGCAGAGACAAACACAGTCAGACACAACAGAACCCAGACACACAGAACGTACCGCATCACACTGTACTGTAACACGCTGTATTTCACTGTAACACACTGCGACGTAACAGATCAGTTACAGATGATTTGTTCCATCACAACACACTGTATCGGCTCTCTAACCTGATTGGCTACAGTGTAGGTGCGGGGCGTCGTCATGGTGATGTTGTTGAAGCCGTACGCCATGGCAGCGTCCTCCATGATATCACAGGCGTGGATGACATCAGAGCGAGTGGGCGGGATCTCCACCTGGATCTGACCATCGTCACCGCTGACCTCTGACCTCAGGCACATCCGGGTCAACAGCTGGGCGATACTTTCAGCTGATTCACTGAGAGAGAGAGAGAGAGAGAGAGAGAGAGAGAGAGGGAGAGAGAAAGAGGGGGAGAGAGAGAGAGAGAGAGAGAGGGAGAGAGAGAGAGAGAGAGAGAAAGAGGGAGAGAGGAGGAGGGAGAAAGAGAGAGAGGGAGAGAGAGAGAGAGATAATATTATTATTGTTATTATTATTACTGCTATTATTATTACTATTATTATTATCAATCCTTAATATCAGTCCTTCATATCTTACTTCACGCCGACTCTGCAGTTGATGAAATCTGCTGAAATGTTTTCTGTCCTGTAGGCCAGCTCCTGGGGGTCAAAGGTCATATGTACATTAGGATATAACGCATGAATGAGCATCACTGTGTGTCAGTATCTGTGATTACAGCTGATCAGTAATGAACAGACACACGTACTGGATAAGAGAACATCCTCCCATCAGAATAAACCACCTCGGCCTCCTCGACCCTGAGACACAGACAGAGGGACAGACAGCAGGTCAACAACAAAACTCCAACAGTGGACGCTGTTATCCAGGCTGCTACTGTTTACCGGTTAGACTGTTTCATTATTTCATCAGATCTGAGCTGCTGTGATCAACATGCAAATATTTCCATGGTTACACTACATTACTTCTAGCATTATGCCACACCCATCCCCATGGTTACACTACACCCATCCCCATTGTTACATACAATCATTTCCATGGTTACACTACAGCCATTCCCATCGTTACACTTCATCCATTTCAATGGTTACACTAAACCCATTTCCATGGTTACATACAATCATTTCCATGGTTACACTACACCCATTTCCATGGTAACACTACACCCATCTCCATAGTAACACTACAGCCATTCCCATTGTTACACTCCATCCATTTCCATAGTTTCACTACACCCATTTCCAGGGTTACATACAATCATTTCCATGGTTACATACAATCATTTCCATGGTTACACTACACCTATTTCCATGTTTATATACACTCATTTCCATGGTAACACTACACCTATTTCCATGTTTATATACACTCATTTCCATGGTAACACTACACCCATCTCCATGGTAACACTACAGCCATTCCCATTGTTACACTCCATCCATTTCCATGGTAACACTACACCCATTTCCATGGTAACACTACACCCATTCTCATCATTATGCTCCATTCATTTCCTTGGTTACACCACACCCATTTCCTTGGTTCCACTATGCCAATTTCCATGGTTACACCACACTATTTCTAGCATTATGCCACGTCCATTTCCATGGTAACGCTACACCCATTTCCATTGTTAGATGGTTACATCATGTCTCACACCATGCCACACTCATTTCCACGGTTACACCACACTCATTCCATTCCACATTAATACTGCGTTTTATAAATGCATTAAATGCATAATTACTTAAAGCACAATAACACTGTAATAACTCCGTGTAGAAGTGTATATGTCAGCAGTTAAACCTGAACATGAAAGAAATCAGCTGATTGTGTTTGATTACCGAGCAGGAAAAGATCAGATATGATCCAAACACAGAAGAGATTTGAGTGTTTGATCAGTCAGAGCTTACAGAGCTACTCAAACACAAACACACACACACACACATACACACACACACACAAACACACACACACACACAAACACACACACACACACACACACAAACACACACACACACACACACACACACACACACACACACATACACACACACACAAACACACACACACACACGCATGCACACAACTTACGTGAACGGCTCAGCGCAGTATTCACTGAACATCGTCACCATCATGTCCAGCACGATCTTAGCCTACACACACACACACACACACACACACACAGAGTGAAGATCAGCTTATATAAACATATAGTTATAATACACAATCAGACTAAACTGGTGTTGCGGGCTAAAATAATCAGTGTGATGAAGTTAATTCTACACCCAAACAGACGTACATCTAAAAGATGTTTTACTCTTCAGAAACAGCAGAGAGAACGTTTTGGTCAGTGTAGATTAAACCTTTTTTGTGTCGAACAAGGCTGAGAAGCAGAGGCTGAGCTAATGAGCTGATGCTAACACTAAAGCTAACCAGTTCACACCATATTATTCTTATTAAATAAACTCTTTCTTAAAGTAAACAAACTCAAAATGAGCCGCTAAAACAAACTGAAGCTGCCAAAACCGGCCCACCTTAGTGAGGTCTGTCGCCGTGCACTCGATGAAAACGTTCTTCGTGTTTCACAGAGATTTTACTGTGATCCCCTGAAAGAAAATGAACAAAAAAAATGTAGATATTAACTCTTAAAATCTTGGCATCGTAAACAAAATAAAGAGACTGTAGCTGCGTTTCAAGGCCGCTACGTCATAAAAGGCCGTTCCAGAGTGAAGGCATAACATTATGACCACCTCCTTGTTTCTACGCTCATTGTCCATTTTATCAGCTCCACTTACTGTATAGGTGCACTTTGTAGTTCTACAGTTACAGACTGTAGTCCATCTGTTTCTCTGCATACTTTGTTAGCCCCCTTTTACCCTGTTCTTCAGTGGACAGGACCCCCATGGACCCTCACAGAGCAGGTACTATTTGGGTGGCGGATCAAAAACTCCAGCAGCACTGCCGTGTCTGATCCACTCGCACCAGCGCAACACACACTAACACACCACCACCACCACGTCAGTGTTACTGCAGTGCTGAGAGTGATCCACCACCCAAATAGTACCTGCTCTGTGAGGGTCCATGGGGGTCCTGACCACTGAAGAACAGGGTAAAAGGGGGCTAACAAAGTATGCAGAGAAACAGATGGACTACAGTCTGTAACTGTAGAACTACAAAGTGCACCTATATAGTAAGTGGAGCTGATAAGATGGACAATGAGTGTAGAAACAAGGAGGTGGTCAGAACGTTATGCCTGATCGGTGTAAATACAAGCATTTTCCAGAATATATATAGACAGAGATTTAGATGAACAGTCACCGTTGATGATGGGGGGCATGGACAGGACGATGCCGTTGCTGTCGTAGATGACGGGGTAGAGCGGCTCGTCCTCAATGATGTGCAGGTAATGCCTCAGGTGACTGTCCGTCTGGACAAACAGACAAAGGCCATTAAGTCTGAACCATTAATGCTCTGTCCATTCGAGTTCAACAGTTTTGTTCTCTCAGGTTTGTCAGTAGAAACCAGCTGCAGTGTTTGTGCCACAGCAGTGACGGTTTAGAGGAATCAACGTCTTTAACCAGCACATCAATTACAAAACATCTATCAGTACAAGCATCTTTTAAAGTGGAACGGGAAGTTCAAACAAGAAGCTGAGGCGCCTGAATGTAGTCTTAACTGCTGCACCTTTTAAAGTGGAACGGGAGAATTCAAACAAGAAGCAGGCGAAAAAGAAGCTGCCTTAAGTTTCACTGAGAGTTGAAATGCATGAAAAGGGATGAGGAGGTCGCTCCTGCTGGACAGGGGGGTAACATTAACTAATTTTTGCACAGAACCAACAGGTCAGTATTGTTTTGTCCTCTTTGCTAATGTTTGTTAGAGCAGCTGTTTAGCTTCTCAGCAGAAACTGTAGTGACAGTTTGCGAACCCATAGCCAAGCTAACGGTAGCTACATTACTCGCTGTGTGGCTGTTCAATCTAACGATATGTCACGGTATCTGTCTGTATGTTTGCGAAGGGTTTTATGGCCAAGAAGATCTGAAAAAGTGTCACCTGGCAAGGCGTGTCCATGAAATTGGGGGGCGGAGCTTCTGAAGGAGTGCTGAAGGGAGGGGTGAATTTGTTTTGCTGTTGAGTTCAAATATCAAGTGAGAGGATTTAGGCCTGTAATTAGCACCATGCTAATTGGTGGGGTATAAGCCTCCATTACTTGTTAGCTACATTAACTCCAGTTACATCTCGGCTGATGAACAAACTATCGCTTTAATGATTACCGGACTACGTTTTCTTCCTGTAGGTTCTTGATAGTAAATATGCTGTGAAAAGTCACATAATCACAACAGTGTGGACAAACCATGTGATACAACGGTCATAAAATCGCTGACCGATCATGATGCACCTGACGGTGAGCAGCCAATGAAAGCTCTCCCTTCCCCCACAGTGACAGCCAATCAGGGCTCACCTTGTAGAGGCTCATGAGCTGAGTGGCCGTGTACTCCTGGCTCTGATTGAGGGGTCTGAAGCGGATGTCGTCGGGCGCTTTGGCCGTGTAGGTGAACGGCCCCGAGACGGTGTCCAGGTCGTGGGTTCCTATGGCAACCAGCGTCCTTTTCCTGAAGACGGACGAAAACAAAACCAACAATTAAACAAATCATTCATGTATTTCCAGATTCCATACAATGCAAAGAACATTTTTAGATTAAAGTTTATTAATCTAAAAGTTGTTATTAGGCTATTATTATTACTTAATTTATATTGCTTTGCTTGCAATTTATGCTTTTAAAGAAAAAATCATTTAAAAATGTTAAAAAGGGACTTTTATGGGTTAAAATGCTTCTACAGGTCATTAGTTATCATTTTACTTGTAAGCAGTGGTAGTGATGTATATTTAATAATTCATTAATTAATAAAAGCGTTGTTTTAAATCCCTATATTTAAATTTCCATTTCCACGGGAAGGTTGTGTGAGTTCTTTTGATCTTTAAACATTTAAAAACAGCTACATTTTGCAGCATTTCTATGCTTCTGAAAGAGCATTTTTGCCCAATTTTCAGCTGAAACGTTTGTCTGTACTCCAGATGCTGATACAGCTGTATATATTTACCTGCAGACGTTCTGATGGAGCTTCTCCTGCAGCTCGATGAAGCTCTCGTAGCGCTCCGGCGTGAAGGTGATGTTGCGTAAGACTGCGGCCACAGCGTGGGGTCTCACGCCCGCCGTCTGGACACAGAGAGACACTTCATATTCATCACAACCTCACAGATAGTAATTCACACAATTTGTTGTTGTTATTATTACTATTATGGCTTCATGGCTATGTTTTACGATGTGTGTCTGACCCAGCAGCAAATATGAAAGTGGTATAAACCTGATTCGGACAGGTCAGAGCTCTGGAGTTAAAAATGGAGCTGATTTTTATTGCGAACAACTGTTTTTATTGTTTGGCAAAGAAAATTGTCCACCATGAAACTTAATAACAAAGTAAATCACACTAAAGAGGCTAATAATCCTGGAAAATGTGAAAACTGGTAAAAATTAATAAGTAATTTAAAGCAGTATTTCACCTAAACGTAGCTAATTTTTATGTATGTTTGTCTTCAGTCAGTGGTGCTGTATGTGGACTATACTGATTCTACTCTACGATATAGTCTGATGCACAATGTACAGATGAATCAAATTACTGTTACAGCACAAACTGAACTAATATTGTCCATATCTGAAATGTGAAATGACCACAAATCTGAAGATTTTTTTTTAATGGCCCAACCATTTGGCTAAAAAAGTGCGTTTGTACCTCTTAATTTATCCTATTAAATCTAGTCGTTTGGTCACATGGGGACACTGATTTTTAACAAAACAGTAAACAGTAATTGTATTATATATATATATATATATATATATATATATATATATATATATATTAGATAGATGAAAAATAATAATAGATAGTAATAGATAAAAAAAATCAAATCAAATCAAAAAGAAAAGTTTAAAACTTGTCAAAATGCGAAAAAAAAAACAGTAAGATCTTAACACTTAATTTACATTCACATTAAATTACATTTAATTTAGGCTGCCGATTATCAGTGTGGGGTGTGAAGAGCTAAACCCACCTCCTCTGTGATGATGAGCCGCTGAGGGTCCCCATTCGCCGGACTGACACGTCTGTAACGGGGGGCTTCCATTCTGCACACACAAAAACACAGTTAAACCGGGCAGAGCTGCAGACGGTGATATGCAGGAATAGACAGTTCACTGAGCACAAACGCACCAGCATCTGTGGATTCTCACTTAATACTTGGACCTATTTGGCTGCTTCTGTGTGAAATCTTGCCTTGACACAAGCTAGAAAGTTGTGAAATTATGGTCTATGTATCTCGTATTAGTATTTCCAGTTTTTTCTCCCTTTTAGATAATCAAATTATAATAACAGTAAATGGGTCATTCTACAGAAACGTCCATTTTTGCGTTTACAGATATATTACACTTGAAAAACATGTTAGGGTTACAATTTTAAAATAAAACAATAAGTTATTTTAACAATTAAACCTTCCTGAGTTGTCAATTTAGCAATATTGGTTTTTAAATCAATCATATAGAATTCCAAGCACGACAGAAGAGCTCATCCTCACAGTTATGTGTAAAGGGTGAGGGACAAATTTTGAAGTAAAAAACACATTATAACTGCAATAATCTATATATGACTATGGAATATATCAATTAAATAACAAATTAAAAAATGCCAAATAAATATTATAAAATATCACTTGACATCCTTTTACCTATTTTCTGAGGATCTATGAAGAAAAGCACATGGTGAGTCCACTGTGTCTTTCAGTTATCAGAGATTTTCTCATTTAGCTCATGATTTCATATGAAACTTTTAGCTGAAGTCACTGGTGTGACCGACTTTATTCTGAGGTAAGTGTGAAAAAATAGAATACAAATGGATCAAATTACATATTTTAGTAGATATGCTATGATTGACAACATGTGGTTTGATGCTCCGTAGCAGCCATTCTGTAAAATGCATTTATCATTAAAAATGTCTCTGGTGTTCCTTTCTTATGTGTAACACCAATGAGGATCAGTAACACCAGTGACTCCTATGGAGAGATAGAAAAGTGGACGTTTCTGTAGAATGACCCACATATATGTGTGTAATATATACACAAAATTCAACATGGCCCCCACAATCGGAGGTAATGCATTATTGCTGGATAACGGTAAAATCTCATTTGTATTGAGATACACTATATATCCAAAAGCCTGTGGAAGCCCCTCCTAACTACTGAGTTCAGCTGTTTCAGCCACACCCACTAATAACAGGTGTATAGACAAACACTGGCAGCAGAAGAGCTCAATGACTTTAAACTTGCCTCCTCTGCCACAAGTCAGTTTGTGAAAGCTCTGTCCTGCTAGATCTGCCCCAGACAACTGTAAGTGCTATTACTGTGAAATGGAAGCATATAGGAGCAACAACAGCTCAGCCACGAAGTGGTAGACCACCCAGACTCACACAGTGGGCCGCCCAGTGCTGAAGGGCACAGTGCCGATCATCTGTTCAATCATCACTAAAGAGCTCCAAACTATCCCTGACCTCACAACCGCTCTTCTGGATGAATGAGCACAAATTCCCAGAGACACTCTCCAAAATCTTGTAGAAGCTTCCCAGAAGAGTGGAAGCTGTTATAGCTGCAAATGGGGACCAACTCCATATTCATGCCTATGGATTTAGAATGGGACATCCAACAAGCTCATCACTGCTGTCGGAAGAAAACCTTGTATCTCCATTTTTGACGTTTTCCAGATTTTGGCATAATTTGGAAAAGCCTGTGGCCCTTTACATTGTAGGTAAATTACATGATGAATGGACCAGAAGAAACGGCCCAAAATGACTTGGAAAGACGTCTGGTTCCATTGACTGACATTAAAAGTAAAATAGGGTTTTCCTTCCCCTGTAAAGTTACCATTTTGGAGGTTTTCTTCAGACAACAGCGATATATAGGTGTG